CCCATCAAAGGAAGGAGGAAAAGGGCCATGGCCGGCCCCAAATGCCTTGATATGGTCCTTCAGCGATCTCTTGTGCTTGAAATCTGAACCGCAGACACAAAGCCAACGCTTCCCACAATTCTTTTCATGGGTCCTCCAGTCACCTTTGACTGCCAAGAACTTCCCGCACTTACGGCACATGAAGGGTTTCATCCCATGTTTCCTCTTGTAATGTGTCTGCAATGTCCTGAAATCCTTCAATGGCTTTGCTCTCGGATGGTCTATGTTGTTCTTGCATCCTTCTGCACAACAGTAGCATGGAATCCCTAAAATGGCTCGTGGTTGAGTTCCCTTGAGAGAGTCAGGACCTTTACGGTACTGTGATCCATGACCCCACATGTGCATCTGCCATGAAATCATAATACATCAGTGCAGTCTCCCAGGAAATAGCCTAACAATTTGAACATAGGATTTAATTTCATGTTGGACTTTACGTCTGGTCCAAATTTTGAGACAGACGTGGAGGAATTTGAAAAGGGAAGACTTTCTTGTGTTATGTGGTACGTAGTATTCAAATAAAAATAGCTTCAGTGTAAAACATAGGGAGATCAGAAGAATTAAAAAAACAAAAATTGCAACACAACTGCACCTGAAGGTTATTGTAGCGGTTGAAGGTTTTGAAGCAAACATGGCAGGAAAAGTGGGTGAAGCCAATGAGTATCTGCTCCGGTGTTGGAATCCAATACTGTTTTGGAGCTGGATTGGCATTTTCATGGATATTCGAGCTTCCGGAGGAATCAGGAAGACCAATGCGCAGGGCAACAGTTACATCCTCTTTGTATTCATCACTGCATGCTTTAGGGTTTTCATCCAAGGGTGTTTCTCCAGAGCCTCTAAAACAGCTGAGCAATGGCATAGGCTGGAGAGAATTCTCTGTTGTGCTTGGAAAGAGATCAAGTGGCTCGATATCGGCTTGATTTGGAGAAGAAACGGTTAGGGAATTGCCAGAGTCATGTGAAGTATCTGAAGGCTCCATTGATGCTATACTAATGTGTCAGGAATAAAATTTGGTTATTTTGGATTTTAAGAAGCTTTTATAACTGGTTGAACCCTTATTTTAGGGTAATTATGAGAATTAAAGTTTTGGCATTAGACCTTAAGTGGTTGGCAGGTTTTATAAGGGTGTTTGTTAGCTTTATCTCATTGATAAGATTGAATTTTTAGTGAAAATTGATCAATTAAGTAAATTTAATTTCTCATAAATTTTCTAATTTGAGTGTAAATAATTTTTCTTTAACTAAACTAGAGAGATATATTTTCTTCATCATGTGTACAAATTAACACAAAATATCACACTAACTATGAGAAGTGTTATGGTAAGAAAAATTTGAGAGGAAGAGAATGGAAGGAGCTAGATAGGGTGGCTGGAGAATAATGTAGTTGAATGAAAACAACCCTTGCGAAGGGGCTAATAAATATGTCCTGTCTTTTATGTTTATCTACTCTTGGGATAGAAAGGGAAAGCTGTGGCCCACGGATACTGGGTTTAGCAAGAATTGTACAACAGAAGGTTGAAATTCTATGGAAATTTATTATATACCCTGGTTGATTACTCTCAACAGTCAACACAACGTCCCCTCCCCCTCGATATTATATATTGAAAATGGCTTGCAGTTTGCAGGGATAAAATGATTAATTTCTACTTGGGGGACTATGCCCCTGTCATCCTTTTATTCACGCCATCCCTTAGAATCCATGGACAAAAATAGTTACTCCTTGTGTGTGTGAGAGAGAGAGTACTAATTAATTGGCACAATTTGATGGACAAAATTACATAGACAATTGATGGGTTTGGGAGCTGTGCTCAACTACTCCCTTTAGGCTGTGATTCAAGATATAAACCTATCCTGGGTGAACCAATAGCTAAGCTAATCTAAGTTTCATCAAAGTGAAAAGAGTCAAATTATATAGGATGGCATAAAACTAAAACTTTTTTCGTAATAAGATTTTTTCATACAACAAGAGTTGATAATAATATAATAATAATTCAATGATTAAGAATATATTAAAATCTTGAAAAATTTCAAGTTTGAATATTTCTATTCCTATATATCTAAAAGGAAAATAGTAGATCCATTTTGGCATTTTATGACTTTTAGTCCAATAAATTATATGTTTTTGTAGTCGTTTTAAGCATCCAAACCCCATCAATATTGTCGTCTTCAATTAATTGACCATTTTTTTAAATAATTTTTTAATAAACTTCCATCTTTCCTTTCATAGTTAATACAAATTTTGAAAAAGATGTTAATCTCTTAAAAGAATGAATGACTTGAATAAAATTTGCGGAGGAAGATGTCAAAAAGAAAAGGTATTGAAATCCCATCTTTGCTTGCCCTGAATAGCTGAGAGAAGGGAAGGGGAGGGGTGATATAAAAGTGAAATAAGGAGCATTAAACTTATGTCAAGATTGTACAATTGGCAGTCCATGTGAGTATGTGGGTGATTTGTTCCCTTAGATTATTGGGCCTTGATCAGAGGTGGCTGGCCCAGCTTCCATTCCTGTGAAGGTGGGCAGTGAAACCTGAGAATCTGTGAACAAAATCAGTGAAAATGGATATTATGAGAAAAACAGAGCATCTATTGTAAGTAAGAAATGCAGATGTCTAGTAGTAGACTGCCCTGCAAACTTGGATCAACAAGAAGGAGGGCCCCTTCTGAACCACCTCATCTATATACTGGTATCAAATTAATTAACACCGTACTAATCGATCAGTATAGACCAGACTAGAGGTAAAACTAGATTAATAATGAGGTTTGTTTTCGACCTTATTAAGATTTCCAGTGATATGTTGACCAAAATAGTACTATTAGAATGTACGGGTTTTAACATTTCTAGTGGAAGATTTTGGTGGTATTCTATTAGGTAAATTTGATCTAATTTTTAACATTAACAGCGGGCGCTACATAACTTAGCTGATCAGTGGCCAGTGGGCCTTTTCTATGCTACACCACTTGACTGCATCTTCAGAAATTCAGAATCAACCATCTATCTTTTGATACTGAAAACACATGCAGTCACTATTTGTTTACACATACTATGCTCCTCTGTCATTACTTTCCATTGACCCATCATTGGGGTCATGGCCATTAACCAGACAGCTCACTCCACATGGTACAGCTTGTGCATGTGGCCCCCCATGATTCATAGCATATGATTCACACAAAACCCTAATTTATAATCTTATCTGGGGCAGCCTATATATGTTCCTAGAGAAGAAGAGAAAATTAATCACTACATATATATAATAATTAGTTTTTTTACTATTATTATTATTATGGGACATGCTAACCTCACAGTGAAAAAGGGGAATGGGTTTCGAAACCCTAGCCATACAAAGAGTGGAAATGTTCTTTCCTCAATAATTTGGCTAATTACTATCCAAACCTTCTCCAATATAGTAATTAGTTAATTATCTTATATTCATACAAAAATAACCACAAATTTACCAACAAGACCTTATTTCCGTTTTGATTTTCAGTGGGATCATGATTGGTGTATACTCGAATTCAACACCTGGGTGTGCACCCCCCACATAAAAAAAAAAAAAAGAATCAAGTGTTTTCCATTTTTTTTTTATGCGGAATGTGCACACCCAGGTGTTGGATCCAGGTGTGCACACATCATTTTCTTTCTCAGTGCGACGGAGTAGTTTTTAAATTAGGATTAGGATAAAAAGGTGTATAATTAAGATATATTATGCTTACCAAAAGAAGAGGGAAATGGATTGCGGTGGAGTACTTGAAAAGGTGAGGAAGGATAGGGGGAGACAGACCCCTCCATTTGAGCAGCAGGATAGTAAAGATAGGATGGGTGTTCAGGTTGTGTTGCAGAATATGTTCCCCTGGCAGCTCGGAAAGAATACCCATAGTAATATGGGGCAAATGACACCTGATTATGGTAGTATTGTAGTTGCTGCACTTGTGGGTTATACGGTGCCTGCATTGTATACATTACCATTGCATTTCGCGGTGTTATTATACATGCCACGTAAGATAATAAAATAAACTATTTAATCAGAACCCAAATTTACTCTCTAAATTGTAAAACTAAGATTATCAAACAAGAAAAAACTCACTTACATTTAGTTTTGTGTAGTTCGACATAGTTTAAACTATATAAAATGTTTATGGAATTTAACAGCTAGCAGAATGAGAGAGAAAACTTTCAGTTTGTATATACTTACAGGGTGGTGACCATAATCTGGAGTGTAGATTGGGTATCTGTAAAAGTAGAATATTTGTTGAACTTCAGATGGTGTTATGAGAGAAGAGTGAATGATGTTAAATAAAGATGAGACGTTTTGATTGCTAAAAACCTTGATTAAGGTAAAGTACAAAACAAAAATCTTGATTGTTAATGAAAGTCAGAAAAGATTT